TAAACATTACCAAATGTTGTTTCAGGAAAAAATTGAAACACTGTTTCTTAATTAATCTTACTGTCGTATTCGTATATGTAGGTTCTGAAATATTGTGATGCTTACCACTTCTATATTTCTTTCTTACTCCCCAGTCTTAACATTTAACCTTGAATTCTATTTACTCAAATAGCTAGTGAGAAATTAGAAGATGATCTGTCCATGAAGTTGGTGTGATATAAAAGTAGGTGGTGGTATATAAGTGTTCTGATAACAAAGTTCTAATAGTTTAAGTGTTCTGATAACCCGTTTCCAATAGTTGTATATGCCAAAACCTTTCCCAACATTGTCTTGTATTCCTTATCAAATAGTAACCTATAAGTTTGGAATATTACTGTTTTATTAGCATGAATTAAAATTATTCCTTAACTTCAATTGTAAATAAACTTTTGCTGTTAGGGATTTCAGTGTCTGTTTTTCTTTTCCTTGTTTTCTTTTAAGTTTTTCCTACGAAAGAGCAGGTTAATTTCATAGTTATCCTAGGAGGAGGGGACCTGTTGATTGGGAAATCATATAAAATGGATGGGAAGAATGGAGCCTAATTATAGCCTTAAATCTAGGCAAGAGAGTTTAGATGTAATGTGATAGGAAATAGAAACCATTGTAGGATTTTGAGGAGGGAAATATGTGAAAGGAATTTTGAAAAAAGTTAGATTATATGGGCTGACTGGTAGTTGGGGAAGCTCTGGAGTAATCTAGACTCGAGGTGAGTTGGAAGTCTGTTCTGTGATGGAACTGGAGAAGGAATGACTAAAGACTTGAGGGAAAATGGATAGGATTTATAAAATGTAAATCTTTGAGGTCCAGGAATGGTTAATTTTATAATTCCATAAAACTTAATGGGATATGACTTTATTATGCTAGTTTAGTATTAAAACTTTTGAAGCTGAGAGTTATATTTTACTTCATCCCCTAAGGAAAACACAATGCATTGTAAACTGGGAGAAATGAAGCTTGATAACATTAGAATTACCTAAAGCCCTAACTTTTTCAGTTTCCTTAGATAGGATGATAGAACACACAAGAATTTAGGGAATCTACAGCACAGTAGACTCATTTCATTTCTCTTGTCTCTATGTCATGAAGAAACTTCTTCCATATAATTTTTCTGGTGGTTTTTCAGCTCCCTTCACTTGAGATGAATTTCTGGGAAAGAAAGACTGATCAGTGATGCAGTTAGGATAGTTATAGTTAATTTCCACTTTATAAATCTAATCTATATGTGTTAGAAAGATTTTGATTTATTCCTTAAATCGTTTTTTCATCACTCTTTACATGCGATGATGTCCAAAAGACCCCCAGATTATAATATTTCAAAAGAATAGCTTTAGCCTCAGAACTCGCAACTTGCAGATTTTCTAAAGGGCTTTATTTTGGTTTTAAAAGGAAGGGGAAGCAAAGCAGGATCAGGCCAGGTTAGTACATGGATGGGAGACCACCTAGGAAGACCAGGTGCTGTAGGTGTAAAAAAAAATTAAAAAATAAGGGATTGTAAGCTGACAAGGTCCTTGCAATCTGTGAGGTCAACCAAGGGTTGCCTCGCCTAAAAATAAATAAAAACAAACAAAAAAAATAAATGATAAAAGGAAGGAGAGGGGTCAATTGCCCTGTTGTTTTGTGTGTGTGTGTGTGTGTGTGCGCAAAATTTATTTTTAATTTGTGTGCTTTTTATCCTATCGCTGCACTGGTGTCCCATGTCCCGATGTCCACTCTTGCTCCTTCTGAATTTACATTGTCCCAGTTAGGAGGTCTCTGATTCAGAAATTATTAAGCCCTTTTAGGGTAAGAGGCTTGTGTCTTAGTTTGGCCATATCTTAACACTAGGTATTGTGTACTCTTAAGACCTTTCTTGGTTTTCTTTTTTTTTTATCTCCTTAGCATGTACCTTAAAATGAGAATTTATCCATTTACTTGTTTTGATTAAGAATGTTATGTGAATGCCATTATGAGGTACTTTGGTTCTAAACAAGGACCTTAACCAGAAAAGGTGGTGAGTTCAGGTGCCTCTTAACTTTTAATGTTTATCACTTAAATGAAAGAAAGAGTGATATGTTTTGAGACTCATAATAGTGCCTAAAAATGTTGCAGCCAAAGAGAGAAGATGACTTGTTACAACTGAGGGGAAACATGAAAAGTAGGCTTGGAGATGCCTGGAGAAATTGCCACTGAGCCTTACAATTTAGCAAACTGAGGCTGAGAATGGATGGGAAGAATGGAGCTGGTCTATAGCCCTGACAATTCTGGAAGAGTGGAGGAATCTTAAAATGTGTTTCCTACCAGGATCTTTATATCATGGTATGTACCTGAAGCCCAGAATCCCCAGGTACCTCCTTTTGTTTATGGCTACAGAAAGTAAAAAAAAAAAAAAAAATTAATGAAAAAAATAATACTTTTGTTGAAGGCTGATCTGAACACATTTGCCCCAAATTCCAAGTGTCATAGAAAACAGAGAATATTAGAAAATCCATCATTGTCTCCCGTTACTTTTTTTATCTTAAAGCCTATTTTGTCAGATATAAGTATGGCTACACCTGCTGTTTTCTGGATGCCATTTGCTTGGAGTATTGTTTTCCACCCTGTCACTTTGAGTCGATATTTGTCCTTTTAGCTGAGATGTGTCTCTTGAAGGCAGTACGTGGTTGGGTTTTGTTTTCTGATCCAGTCTGCTACTCTGTGCCTTTTTATTGGTAAGTTCAGTCCAATAACATTTAGGGTGATTATTGAAATATATGAAGTTTTCCTGTAGCCATTTTAACTTTTGCAGTAGCTTGGTGTCTCCATTGTTTGCCTTTCTGTTTCTGTTACTTTAATTTGGTGGTGATATGTGTACATTAGTGGTTACCAGAGGGAAGCAGGGGAGGGAGGAGGTAAATAGAAGTTAAGGGGGTCAAATATTTGGTGGTGAAAGGAAATTTAATTTTGGTGAACACATAATGCAATACACATATGACATTATTGAATTGTACACTTTTATTAACCAATGTCACCCCAATAATTTTAATTTAAAAAAAATCCAATTTTTTTCTTAGGAGCAGGGGAGGGTGGAGGTAAGGAGAACCTTGATTTGGATCTGCTTTTAGTTGAAATGTGACCATCAGGAAACTTTTGACAACCAAAAGAAGTTTAAATTGCTATATTGTCTGTCAACTGTTTTTTGAAGAAAAAAATCCCAGTAATCACTTATTGGAATTGTCTTGATTTTTTAGCAATTTAAATTCTACCTAATGTAGTTCTGTTTAGAGATGGTTATTATAATTTTGGGTGTATATGTGTGTGGGTGCTGATAATTTTTGTATTTTCTTTGGGGGTGGAAAAGGAAAACAATTCACGCTGAGAAAATTTTTCTTAAAAATTCATTTTTATCAATTTAATAAAGAATTTATTAAATCATTAAATAAAGAAACTTCTTCCAGACCACCAGAACCTCACCTTTTCCCTTCATATTCTTCCCTGTTGAGAGAGTTTTCACTGAGCAGTGAAGAACATATTTTTTAAGTAGCCTACATTTTATAGATTGAAAATCTCAAGTCTTAAAATAATCTCATGATACTAATGTTACCAACAGTTGTATTCATCTTCTGCTGAAGGAGATTTTTTAAGTAAATGTTCCAGATTTTTTTATCCTATCTACATATAGGAAAATGAAAAGAGCAAATAAACTGGGGATCTGTTCTGTGACTATTAGGAGTCGTGATTTGGCATGTTATCATTATCCTCAATATCTGGGGTTGGATTCAAAGGAGCTACCTGAAAGTATTTTGTGTTTTTTAGAAGTTGGATAAATAGATATAAAGACATTAAATTAGATGAGCATGAAAAAACCACTGGTCAATCTATGACAAAGGAGACAAGAATATACAATGGGGTAAAGATAGTCTATTCAATAATTATATTAGGAAAACTGGACTACCTTCTTACACCATATACAAAAATAAACTCAAAATGGAAGAAAAATTTAAATGTAAGACCTAAAACCATTAAAATCCTAGAAGAAAACAGGCAGTAAACTCTCTGACATTGCTCCTAGTAATATTTTTTCTGATATATCTCCTTGAGCAAGGGAAACAAAAGGAAAAAAAAAAAAACAAATGGGACTATATTAATCTAAAAAGCTTTTGCACAGCAAAGGAAACTATCAACAAAGTAAAAAGACAAAATAATGAATAGGAGAAGATATTCACCAATGATACATCTCATAAGGAGTTAATATCCAAAATTTATAAAGAACTCATACACTCACCAAAAAAATCCAATTAAAAAAATGGGGCAGAGGTCCTGAACAGACATTTCTCCAAAGAGAACCTACAGATGGCCAATAGACATGAAAAGATACTCTGTCACTAATCATCAGAGAAATGCAAACTAAAACCACAGTCAGATATCACCTCACACCTGTCAGAATGGCTATCATCAAATCAACAAACAAGTGTTGGCAAGGATGTGGAGAAAAAGGAACCCTCATACATTGTCGATGGGATTGCAAATTGGAGGTTCCTCAAAAAATTAAAAATGGACTACCTTGTGACCCAGCAATTTCACTTCTGGGTATTTATCTGAAGAAATCTAAAACACTAATTTGGACAGATATATGCACCCCTATGTCCATTGCAGTGCTATTTACAATAGCCAAGATATGGAAGCAACCTAAATACTCATCAATAGACAATTGGTTATAAAAGATGTGGCACATATATACAATGGACTGTTACTTGGCCATAAAAAAGAATGAAGATGGACCTAAAGGATATCATGCTTAGTGAAATACATCAGGCAAAGACAAATATCGTATGATCTCAAAACAGACTCATAGATACAGAGAAGAAAATGGTGATTGCTAGATGGGAGGGGGGTTGGAGTCTGAGTGAAAAAGGTGAAGAGATTAAGAAGTACTAATTGGTAGTTACAAAATAGTCACAAGGAT